TACCAGCCAGATGCGGAGCACTGGAGCCTCTACCTGGACGATCCCCGCGCAGGGGCGAGGCGAGGAGAAACCGGGGCCCGAGGACGGCTGCTGGCGGGAAGGCTGCTCTTTGGATGAGTTTTAGCATCAAGGGGGAAAAAGAGAAAAGGGGGCAGTACTGGCAAAGGAGAGGACATCTAGAAAGTTGTCTCTGACTGGGAAGTGAGAGCATGTTTGTGTGCTGTGCAAATGTTCTAGAATGTTCTAGACAGGAGCTACAGAAGGGGTGGGTGGAGAGAGTGGTGGGAGGGGAGTCTGGGAGGGGAAGTGGAAAGGACAGGTGGGGCAAGAGGGGCTTTGAAGGGACCATCGACAGCCCCACGCTGGAGGGCAAGGCCTGGTTGCAGCGTAGGGAAGAGCAGGTCATTCGCCCTTCTCCACCCGCCCCCAAGCATCCATGCCCCACCCCCGACATGCCCCCTGCACCCCCAGCCTGTCCCCCCAGCTTGTTTTGCTCACACAAGGAGAGAGGGTGAACGGTGGTTTCCAGGTCCACAGTATCACAAGAATTGTGACAAATACATGCTCAAGTCAAAGAAAGCACATCAGTTTCGGTCATTTTATTTTCATTGAAAGATCAAAGATCTAATCCATACCTCAGAGATAAGTTACCATGAAGATTCGAAAGGTACAGTCATACCCATCCACAAGGCTTGATTTCTTAAACTTACGTAACAGCTTTTTTAAAATATAAATATTCCTGAGAGAAAGGAAATGGCGCAGGAGGCCTGTTGAAAAGCGCCCGGGGCATAATTCGCACCCCGGCCCTCTCTGCCCACCCGCCCCTGCCGCCCCGGGAAGGCCCTCCAAGAGCTGGGGCCTCATTTCTTTGCTTAAAAATCCAGGTGAAACAAGCAACCTCCATCTTTTACAAAGTATGTCAAGATTGCTCAACATATTCATTTAAACATATAAAATCAAAGTCGAATTTTAAAAATATTTTCCCAAACACAAAATAAATATAAAACATTGCGTAAAAACATAATTAAAAAAAAAAAAGATGGTACATTCATTGCCGAATTTTCAGGAAGAGCACATTTGTCCTACCTATCTATAACTTAGAACTAACCAATGTAAGTACATTGGTATTCTAGTAATTTAATTTTTATTAAATATGTCTACCATTATTAATAAATCATAAATAAATCCTATGCCTACTCCCAAAGCATGGCAAAAGAGTGTAGTAGATCCCTCTAAAATACAGGAAGACAATATTTTTGAGTATCATTCAGTAACATATAAATTTACTTTTATTTCTTGTCTCTTAAGAAAAACAAAATCTGACTGCAATGTCTCCTGGATTGGCATTAAGTGATTTCTACTCATGCTGGATTTTTCTTGCTTTCTTATCTGACCAGGTATAAATTAAGCCAATTCTCCCCAATGTGATATTAACTAAGGGTGTCATCACTTCTTTGGTTCGTCCCTTTGTCTGCAGACCAAAGGACTGGGCCCTGGAGACCACTGGCCCTACACCGACTTCCCTGAAGCGTGCGCGCGGTGGGGTCTCCGGGCCAGGCTGTGTGAGCACCACACCGACCACAGAAACTCGGCATGCATCGGGCAACATTGCCTTAAACCAGAGAAGGGAGGTAGTAGGACCAACAGGCAATGCAAAACAGTGTGACACCAAAAATACACTTGGCTATGTAAGTAATTTCTCCTCTTAGAGTTAAGGTTGATTATGTCAGAAAGCCTGTCAGCTGTGCCACTTAAGTCCTTGAGCACATACTCGCATAGTCTGACACAGGTCTGACGTCTTTCCCTGTACAGTAGTGTGACAGAAATGACTCGGCCTGATGGCTCGGTAGGCAGAGTATGAGTTTCACAATGAGCTGGGTCTGCAGGGAAACTCAAAGCCAGAAAGCAGGAAAGACTGGGTGATGGTCACCTGGCACATTAGTGGCAGAGGCAAGACTAGAACCCGCTGTGAATCTTAGGGAGCCCCACTTCTGGTAGGCGATAAGCACAAAGCCTCAGAAATCTTACAAGCAAACGTCTCCATGTAGCAACCAGCATGACCCAGCATCACCCATTCTAGGGCTCATTTGTCTCTGAGCCAGGGTAGGGTGGTGACTTAAACCATCCAAGGCCACACTCCCATGGGGGAAGGGCCATCAGAAGTTCAGTTTTGGATTGTCTCATTATGCAACGTCAAGTTCGCAGTGCAATGCACAAGGTGCAAGTAAGAGCGTGTTCTGAGCTGAAGACAAATTGGAGGGGGTGGCAGGGGTCATGAACAATGATGGACATTTAAAACCCTGAGGCCAGATGAGGCCCCCAGAGCACAGAGTAGAGCCAGGGAAGAAAGGGGGACCGAGGCTGGGCCCTGGCCACGCCCATGCTGGAGGTCAAAGCGAAGACATGACAAGCAGAGGAGACAGAAGAGGGGTGCTCAGCGAGGAGGAGAGCCCAGAGCATTATATGTCCCGGAAGCCAGTCATGAGAGCGGGGCTGGGAGCTGCGAGACCAGTTGTGTGGTCCGGCAAGATAAGGACTGAGAACTGACCGTGGATGCGGCCACGCAGGGCGTTGGTGACCTTGATTAAGTACCATCTGATGGAGTGAGGGCCACCCAAGTCTGATTAGACAGGATTTCAGAAAGAACAGGAGAGGAATTTCAGAAGACAAATATATAAAACTCCCCTGAGGGCTGGAAGTGCAAAGGGAGCAGAAATGGGACTGGGGGTGTCAAGGGAAGATTGCTGTGATTTTTTAGGTGGGAAATGCCAGCAGGTTTGTGTGCTTGTAGAGCAGCCCGGCCCAGAGGGAGGAAAGGACGGCGAGGGTGGGCATGAGGCCCGGGCAGGAGCAAGGCTCCGGAGGAGGTAAGGAGAGCTGGAGAGCAAACCCCGAAGTCGGGGGGCTAGTGCCTGGGGGGCTCCGTGGACGGCCGGATCCCGGGATTCGGACACCGGCGGGTGTGGGGGGTGAGAGTGAGGAAACAGCCGGAGGGGCGGCCTGAGCAGCCTGAGCAGACAGGGATCTCTGGCGTCCTACTGGACACCAATAGCCTGGGGCCGCGGAACAGGGTGTCACCAACACACAGTGCCGCTAGAGGCTTGGGTTCATGTGCTATTTCTGCTACTTTCATTTATGTAACCTCAAGCCAGCTCGTCACACTCTCTATCTGCCTCGGTTTCCTCATCTGTAAAGCAGGGATCCTGGGAGTCCCCTCCCAGCAGCACAGCTGTGAGCACTTAGGGAGGCGGGACCTGTGCATGCTTGTACCGCGGCTGGTGCTGAGAAGGCCGGACCCTGAGCCACCAGCGCAGAGGCAGCCGGCTTGACTGGCCTTGGCCGCATGGACACACACACCAGGCAAGTGGACAGCTATGCACAGACCCAGCCTCACCGCCCAACCAACACCACTGTCTTCGGGATCAGAGTGGCCCATCCTACGGGACTGAGGAAAAGGCCCTGGCAAAAGCCGGGCTTCAGACAACACGCTCAGTCCCCAATCTTCCCACCTGAGAAGGAGGCTTTTCTGAACATGACGCAGCACATTCAGACCAGCCAGAAGGAAACGTCTGCAAAGCAGCAGCTCGATACACACACACACACACACACACACACACATACACACACACACACACACACACACACGCTGTGCAAAATAGGACACCAGAGCTCATGCTGCACTTCAGCATGGCCATGACCAGTTTGCAGCAAATACCTCTTACTGAGTTCAGGTCAGAGCTTAGTCGAACACGTATACATTATGCAGCCACGTGAGGCCTTTGCTTTGAGCGCCGGTAAAGTCAAGTCCAATAAAGTAAACACTAAGAATCACTCATTCCTATGATCAGCAGCGAGATGGCCTGCATGTAATGTGACAGTGGCTGAATGGGCCAAGACCCTTGCAAAGAAGTACCTTGTTCTCACACAACCCTGCACGACAGGCTCATACGATCCTTCTGGAAGGACACGGAAGGTTGAGCTTCACACCACAAAACTCAGCTGTTTCATGGCCACGTGAGAAATTCAAAGAAGATGCGCTTGGGTCAGGCTTGGGCCACGGACGCAGGGAGACCGCCCACCTGACCAGGGCTCAGAGCAGCAATCAGTGTCCGAAGGATGGGGCCCTGAAAGCGTCCTAATGTAAATCCACCTGAATTCCCAGAAAAGCTCCTAGAATACTTCCCCAGCCAAGCCTTGCACCCAGCTGCGCTCCAGTGTGAACTTAGAGACCAAATGTACAGCCCGAGGGCATCTGGAGCAAACAAACAGGAGGCGGCAGGTGGCTGGGAAGAGATGCCGTGCCCCTGGGGAAGTCCGCAGTGTGGCCAAGAAGTCCGTCCATACAAGGCCAGGCTTTGCAGTGATTTCTGAACAAAATGAATAAAAAGTGCTTTGTGGGGGACTGGGTGCAGTCCACAGCAGGCTATCTTCTGGGCGGAGCTGAGTGCCACGCTGCCAACAGACTCAGTGTCCCCCCAGATCCATGGCAGGAAAGGCAGCTGGGCATGCGTGCTTACCCATCTTAGCACAGGACAGCATAGGCCTGGGAGCTCGGGAGGGGGTGCTCCCAACACGGGCAGGGGGCACCAGCCTCCTCACCACTGCTCTCTCCCAAGGGAGGGGTGGACCGAGTAGGGGGCACCCACTGGATCCTGAGAGTCCTCAATTTTCCTCCCTGCTCCGACGTTTGTTGGCAGGGAGCCTGGGGTCAAGTTCCTGCACCTCCCAAAGCTGTTATTTCCTCCTGTGTTAAACGGGAACGGCAACACACCCCCACCTCCCATGGGCGCTGGCCCCGGAAATGAGAAAACGCAGGTGTGCATCAAACACCTAGTGCAACGGTGCAGGTGCTCAAGAGGTGGGACCTATTATTGCTCGGGGCACTAAGTTGAAATTGATGAGTGGTTTCATTTGAGCTTTCATTCTAGTTTGGATCTGGAAGACTACAGGACGTCACACTCCCTCTCCTTCCTCTCGCCTCCCTCTCCTTCCTCGCCTCTCTCTCCTTCCTCCCTCCCTTTCCCTGACGATTTTCAGCGATGCCACCCCAAGACCTTTCAAAAACCATCACTGCGGGTTGTTTGAAACATGTCCAGATGTGCCACTGGGCTCCCCTGACTCAGCTGGACACTCTTCTTCCAGGGAACTTTCCAGAGCCTGCCAATAGATCATCATCTTCTGAGGCCCAACAAAATGGCAGGCCACAATTTTCTTAAAACGGCACGTAGAAAAGCTCAACCCGCTTGGGAAGAAGGTCTGCTGGGAGTGAAGTTCCTCCAGGCTGATTTCCAGTTTTTTGAGGCACAGCCCCACGAAGACGTCTTCCAGCTTAAGGAAGGGGACGCTTTCCGAAACATTGTACACCTTACTCGCGACATCACTGGAAAACACGTAGGCGGTGCCAGAGCAAAACGGCGGGTATTTGTCCCACGGATATTCATATTTACTGACAAACCACTTACTGTTCTTTTGCCGAATCGGAAATTCGTTCATTTTCAAGAAGCCAGTGAAAAACCTAGTTGTCCTGTTTTTCTTCAGCAGTAGTTCAGTCAGATAGTAGACGTTGATAAACATGTCAGAGTCTGTTTTCATCACAAACGCCACCTGGGGACAGAAGTGGTGGATCCACTCTATCCCCATCATGGTCTTCAGAGTCAAATTGAAATAAACGTCCACAAAGTCCTTCTGGATGACATCGCGGTGTTTCCTGCTCTCCTGGGCCACCATGTCCACGATGTTCTTCCTGGGACTGGTTCCCAGGAGGAAGAATGTTCTTATCCGTCGTCCTCTCACAAGCTTTTCCTTTCCCCACGTGTTGCGGATGACCAGGCGCGCCAACTGCTGCTCCGGAGAGGACGTCACGAGCAGGGCAAGGAAGGGCGGGTCCTGCTGGCAATCAATGTCTGGGAGCTGGAGGAACTTCCCGTTGTCCTTCTTGAAAACAAGTAACTCTCCTTTAAAAAGAGACAGATCGTGCATGCTGAAATACAAACAAAGGGCTCCCAGAACCACCAGGGAAATATACATCCATCTCATCTTCACAGCAGCCATCTGGAAGGAACAAAATCAAACAGTTACACCTCCGAAGCAGGAGGGCATGTTAGCTTTATCCCGGGAGGCAGGGATGGAGGAAGAGACCCGTGTTTTGTGGCTGGTGTTTCCGAAACTCTGGAACCTCACTGCACACAGAACGGAAGCTGTGGTTCAATAGTAAGGCGTGAACGGCGGCCGGAGTCTTTCCCTCCAGGCGGTACAATCAGGACCACAGGGAACAGACACTGGTCCTGGCCCCAGGGCCGGCCAGCCCTTCACTCTCCCTTTCAGGAAGGATATGCAGCCACGTCTCTAACTAGCTCCTTCCAGCTCTGCCCTTCTCTGAGTCTACAGGGATGTCTAGCTACAACACTGGAAACCACAAGCTCTAGATCTGAATGTGTGGACTGTCTGCATTCTTCTCTGATGGAACCGAGCTCCATTTTATCACGTCCGGAAGGAAGAAAACCAGTTTCCCGACTTGTACGACTGCCTTGAATTCCACCCCTGCTGGTGGTGGCGTGTTATTTTATTGTTTTAGGTTACTTCTTCAAATCACCTGTCCGAGTCTGTCATCTTTTGCCCATTCATCTCTGTTTGTTCTCAACAGACCCAGGATGATCCATGTTAACGTGAGAACATTCAGAAAGCAAATAACTCACGTTCTCCTGAGAAAGATGAACCTCTGGCGTGAAAGCAAAGCCACAGGGTCAATTCCGCAAGGAAATTCGTTCCACACAGTCGTCAGCACAGGCCGTTCTGCCCTCGCAGGCTCTGGCTTGGCCCGCTTCCCGAAAACGATGGCGCTCTTTCTCAGGAATCGCTGTAAGAAAAAAACCAAAAGAGAACAGCGTCGTTCACATCGCTCCTGGCTCACGGGCAGCTCTTCGCCATCCCCTGGGCCCCGCTGGTCGCTGTAGCGCCGCCCTACACCTGCCCTCAGTGCCCTGAAAGGACATGGCAGCCCCACCCGGTCTCACTGTTGTCATCTGTACGTGGCTACTACGGAGAGAAATTCCACCATGCGGTTCAAAAATAACATGCCAGTGTCCGAGCCTCCTTTCTGGCCTAAGGTACAATATTAGGACAGAACGCTGTACAGACACACAAGTCAGTTACGGTCCAATTTCTCCTGTCAGTTTTGACCTTCTCTACAACCAGAGTGTGGCTGGCGCTTGAAAAACGTAACACAGGGACGAAATCCATCCATTCTCAACTCAGTGCCGTGTCTTCAAAATGCCATCCTACCTAAGCGGACAGAGGGGCCCGGCAGACACTGACCAAGTGACGTGGAGAAAAGTCGGTAATTGTCAAATCAGCACCTACTCCGTTTTCCATTCTGAATCAGCTAAAGAGGCTGCAGAGCAGAAATGAAAAGTTCCCCTGTGTTAACTTCAGGCAGGCTGCTGGGATGGGGAGACGGGGCTTTGGGAAGCGGAGGCTTCGTTCGCAGGCAGCTTGGCCACGGGAGTGGTGTGATTCGGCACCAGGGACGCACATGGCCCAGGCCTGCGTCCTCACCTCCAGCTGGGGTGATAGTGCCGCCCTCACAGTGGGGTGGAAGGCCCTGGTTGCTGGGCCTTCTTACCGGAGTGTGCCCTTTTTTCTTTTCGATCCTCACCAGAGGATATGTTCATTGATTTTAGGGAGAAAGGAAGGGAGCGAGAAAGAAACATGGATGTGAGTAACATCGATAGGCTGCCTCACACCCCAACCAAGGATCAAACCTAGATATGTGCCCTGAGTGGGGATCACACCCACAACCTTTGGGACATGCTCCAACCCAACGAGCCACCCGACCAGGGCAGAGTACGCCCTTTAATGGTATGGGTGGCACTCAGTAATGTCAACTCGGTTCTCCCCTTCAGGTCCCACCTTGCTAGAGCATTCTGCCCACCTGCTCCCAGTCACAAACAAGCGGAGTGTGTTGTCCACAGGACGACCCAAACCCCAAGGACAGCAGGAAGGGTGGTCTGCACGTTGCCCTGAGAGCCTCTCCTGGCTGGCAGCTCCCCTCCCAGGCCATGCCTGCAGGGCGCTCCACGGCCTCTGCGAGAGAGAACACAGCCTGGGGGCCGCCAAAAAGGACAGTGAGTGACCTTCTCTTGGAGAGGCAGCGCGAGGTACAGAAGGGGGCTGCCTGCCGTCTGCTGGGGTAGTAGGTTCTTCCCAAGCCTGCTTCGGGAGCCACGGACATGTTTACAAGATCTGTCCAGAAGGTATCCAGCCATGTAATACGAAAAATACATTTACTGAAGAAGATACAAGATACAAGGAACATGGTACATCGGACAATGACACCTCAGTCCCCTTCAAAGTAGGTACCTTGGGACCTCACAGAGTTCTCTCAGTTGCCATCAGCTGCCACATCGTATTTTCCTGAATCTCACTGATGATCTGAAATCTCTTCCCTTTCTAAGGTGACTTTAGTTTTGGGAAAAACCAGAAGCCACAGGGCACCAAATCTGGGCTGTGGGGGGGCTGGGTCACCTGAGTGAGTTGATGTTTCACCAAAAAACCCCGCACAAGATGTGATGCATGAGCAGGCACGTTGTCGCGCTGAAGCTGCCAATCACCAGGTGCCCACAGCTGCAGCCTTCTGAATCCTCCAAATAGTTTCCACAGAGGAATGTTCAAGCTTAATGCAAAATATGATGCAGATTTGTTGCTCTCCTCGCTCAGTCATTTTGAATGTGACGTTCTGAATGCGATGGCCACACAGTGCACATGCTCACTCAACAGCATCTACTGCCCCCACTGACCAGTACGGCAAAGTCATCATTGTTCACACATGCACATTCCAGTCCACTCCCCTTGCCTGCCAGGCTACATCCATGTCACGCGAACTGTTCTCATTATATTAACAGCGGCTGTACTTTTTCCAGACAGACCTCATATATCATGGATCTTTTTAACAGCTCCTAGAACAAAATACTTAGGACTACAAAGGAAATCCACTATGTTGGAATAAGTTTATCAAACGTTTCTAGAGCACGCCCGAGCAATATGCTGTGCCACCATGGGCGCACTTCCTCATCGCTGTCTCTGCCGACGATGCTAGTTCCACTTCTGGTGAAGCCCACAGCCCTCACAAGAGAACACAGCAGCCCCACCCCAGGCTCTTTTGCTGCCTCAGGAAATCTCATCTGAGAAGGGATCAAACAAAGAAAAAAGAGAAAGACCCACAGACACAGGCAATAGCATGGTGACTGTTGAATCACTGTTTCCACTTGGAAGGCAGCAAGAGCTTTGTCCATATTTGGAAACGGCCACAACTATATTATAGCGTGAAAATATCAGTGACTTCTTTTGGAGACCAAGTCACGGACTCCACTGCTCTGTGGGTTAGGGCCTGTTGTGGGCTAAATTGTATCTGTCCCCCAATTTCACATGCCGGAGCTCTAACCCCCAGGACTTCAAAATGACACTTTATTTGGAGATTAGAAATTGATCGCGTTACAATGAGGTCATTAGGACGGGTCCTAATCTGTTTACAGCCGGTGTCTTAATTAAAAGGGGAAACTGGGACACAGGCACCCAAGTGGGAAGAACCTCATGTGACAATGAGATCACTGATTGGGGTGATGCTTCTACAAGCCAAGGAACCCAAAGATGGCCAGCAACCGCCCGGAGCTGGGGAGTGGCTGGAACACTCTCCCTCGCAGCCTCAGAAGGAACCTGCCCGGCCAACACCTTGATTTTGGGCTTCCAGCCTCCAGAACTAAGAGATAATAAATACCTGTTGTCTAAGCCCCCCAGTGTGGGGTACTTTGAAGCCACAGGAAATGGCTACAGTGCCCATAATCATGCTAGAAGAAGTGCTAAGTTTCAGTGAAAGGTTCATAAAAATAAGAAAGTACTTTTTTCCCCCATCTAAGGTGTCGGACCACAGGTCACTACTCCTGGCTGGCACTCAGGGTCCTCTCTGGGCCCGTATCCTGACGGTCACACTGCACAGCTGACGCGGGCAGCAACTCAAGGGGCAGGAAGACAGCACTGTGGACGTCCCAGGCGTTGGGTGAGGTCACCCTGTTTCCTGTCATCCTGAGGTCTACACTTGTCATCATTATTTTTATGTGACAGCCTGGGCTGGGCTTAGACTTGGGAGTCAGTATCGGGGTCACGCAGAGTGGGATCCTGTGAATGGTACGCTTTTACCACTCTTTTTGGTAAAAGATTTTTTTTTAGTTTTATGAAAAAATGGTGATAGTACTGACAATTTTTACAGTTTTCCTACTTAACAAAACTGTCAACTCTATTTCAACCCCTCTCGCATTTCTTAAATGGCAGCTCCACGGGGGCCCAACGCGAGTGCCCCTTGGCTGTGGCAGGTCACACCAGCTGCCCTGGACGCTATGAGTAATCGCCCAGCCGGGGGCTGGGGTTTGCAGGCAGAAGTGTTCAAAGAGCGCCTGGTGAGAAGGGTATTCAAGTGCCCCAACCCAGTGAGGAATGGTTTCTTTCTCTGCCTTTCACATCACCTCATCAGTTCCGCCAAGAGCGGTGAACAAAAATCGCATACATCATTCACCTCTCGTGCTGGTGGTGGCTGCAGGAGACTTTACTAGGAAGTGTCCCCACCAGCGTGGCCTGGGGAGCATTCTGTGCCGGCCCTTTGAGGCTGTCCAGCTAAGGGCAGACATCCTGCTGGAAGAACTTCCGGTGGAGTCCCCAGCCCTCACAAGAGAACACAATGCCCTTGCCCCAGGCTCTTTCTCTGCCTCAGGAAACCTCATCTGAGAAGGGACGAAGCAAAAGAAAAAGAGAAAGACTCACGGACACAGGCAATAGCATGGTGGCTGCCAGAGGGGAGGGGAGTGGGGGGAGGTGGATGGTCCCGCGGGAACAAATGGTGATGGACGGAGACTGGGGAGGTGACCACACACTACAGTGGGCAAATGGCGTATGACAGGATTGTACACCTGAAACCTATACAATTTTATTAAGCAATGTCACTCCAACAAATGCAACTTAAAGAAAACCTCACCAGAGTGCAGCAGGCAGTGCCCAGGGGCCCAGGGTTCAACAATAAGGAAGACGAACCTTTGAGGGGTCACGGCCCCCAGGACCAGCAGAGCAGTAACCAGGTCCGGCCCAGCAGGGAGGTGTGTGGGCCTGACAAAGACTCTCCCTGAGCCCCCTCGTCAACAAGACCTCCACCCTCAGACTCCCACGACCATTTACGCATCGCCCAGTTTCAGCAAGAATCCTGTTAAGTGGGTTGAGCGAGAATTCCCCACCTCCAACATCCAATCAAATTCCCCATCCTGTCAAGTCAGCTTAGTCAGGACCCCCCGCCCCCCGCCGCTGTAATTCCCCACCCTTGGAGGCCGCCCTGCCCTGGCCAGAAGCCCCGCTATCCACGCTGCCACCGGGGCGCAGCCCAGCTCTACTGAGATCTGGCTCCCCGCATCGCGATCGTTTCTGAATAAAATCTGTTCTGCCACGTTCTCCGCTGCCCGGCTGTTTTTCCTTTGACAGGCAGAGGAGAGAATGGAGGTCCCACCTGGGGAGGTTCAGGAGAGCTGCCCTCAGGAGGCCCAGGGGCAGAGGCAGGAAGTCCGGAGGGGCCTGGTGGGTTCCAGAAACAGGGCATTGTGCAAAAGGAAAGCGTGGAGGCGAGGCTGGAGATCGGGCAGGGTGGGCTCGGTGTGGCCTTGCAGAGCAGGTGAGGGGCTGGACTTTTTCTGAAGACATCAGGGGGTCCACAGGCCTTCTCTACGCTTTAGAGACAGATGAGTCAGGGCCGATGGGGCCCCTGTCCGTAATCCAACAGAGAAGCAAG